CTCCCTCCGGCCCTTTGCACATGCTGTTCCCTCGGCCTGGAGTACCTACCCCTACCCATTGTTCGAACACTGCTTCCTTTAGAAGCTTTCCCTGGCACCCGGTCTGGTTCCTCTCACTCTCCCAAAACCATAAACTAATATCTGTCATCTTGAAGCTAGTCGTCTCTTGAGATCGGGACTTCCTCCTCTTCCTACCGTGCTCCCTCTGCTTTGCACAGCGGAGGTGCTCACGGACTGCTGTTGAAATAGCGAGTGAATGAAAGGAAATGCCCCTGCCTGGCTCCCACGAACCCGATCCCCTCCTAGGCCATCACTGACCTGCTCCAGGGCCACCTTCAACACAGGCAGAGGGTGGGCCAAGGGCACGGGCTCAGGGTGCCGGGGACACATCCTCACAGGGGCAGAGGTCTCATCTGGTCCCAAAGAACCTAGAAGGAACATGTGGTAAGTGGGGACAGAGATCAAGATACAAGTCCAGGGGTCAGGCAAAGGCCAAAGCCACCTCCTGGGGCCAGCCCTCCTCAGCCTGCAGCAGCCTTGGCCTGGAGCTATCAGGGTACAGCGACTGGGCAACTGAGGGCGGAAGAGCAGAAGATGCCTGGGAGGCAAAGGGGCAGCTCCACCCATGCCACCCACCTCTGCCACGGTCCTGCAATGTGCTCGCTCATATGACCAACTTGCGCCGCCATGCAGCCAGTGACTTGACCAGGCCTGGCACCTTGGGGCAGGCTCAGTCATGTCTATCTCTGCATCCTCCTAATTCTATGTCGGTGGTTCTCCATCTTGCTAATGCTGTGACCCTTTCATACAGTTCCTCATGTGGTGACTCCTCCAACCATAACATTATTTTTGTTGCTACTTCATCACTATAATTTCACTAGTGATAAATCTGGCGACCCCTGTGAAAGGGTCATTGGACCCCCAAAGGGGTCGCAACCCACAGATTGAGAACTGCTGACATAGGGGGACTAGGGACTAATCTCTAAAACGTATAGAAAACTTCAACAGCTCAGCAACAACAACAACAACAACAGACAACTCGTCCCCTTTCACACGGGGCAGAAGACATCTCACCAAAGGAGACACTCGGGCAGCTGACAACCTCTGAAGAAATGCCCACACTCACTGCCGCTGGAGAGACGCAAGTCAGAGCAGCCAGGCGCTAGCCCCGCACCCAGCAGCCTATCGCACAGCTGGAAGTAACAAAGAACCACAACTGCTGGCGGGGTGCGGAGACTGGGACCCGTGGTGTCACTGGTGGGCCTAGAGGACGGTGCAGTCGCTGTGGAGAGCAGCTTGACACTGCCTCCAAAAGTTGGGAACAGGAGTACCACTTAAAATGCATATGTTTTAACTCCCTGCTGTTGCGTCGATTTTGATTTGTAGCCACCCCACAGGACAGAGTAGAACTGCCCCCATGGCTTCCTGAAGCTGTAGATCCACAGCAGCAGAAAGGCGCCTCACGATCCGGGTGGGAGGCTTGAAATGCTGTGGCAGTCACCTAATCTGGTGTCAATTTGAGGATTAAGAGGGTAGGGGTGGAGTCTAGGCTGTCAATCTGGAGATAGCCAATGAGACTTCTGTGGGCATGGCCTTCTCCTGAGAATTCTGGGGAACCTGGGACTTCCTCTTTGGAAGCAGAAGA